ATTCCACAGTTGTATTGAGCGTAATCTCAAAAATAGAAAAGCTTATTTACCAAGTGATTTTGAGCGACCGAAGGAGCAAGAATGAAACCAGCACCATATAAATATAAAGAATTAGAATATACTTTTTTGACAATTATTGTTTGGAGGAGCATAAGCGCTACAAATCTATAAGACTTACCTGGTAGATCAACGGCAGATCCTCAATTGACCGATATAAAATTATTGCCGATATTGTTCTCAATCTTTTACGGCATGTAACAATTTATCTGCTGATAAGCCAGTCCATTGATGAAGGTTTCTGAGCCATGAATACTTCATCCTACCAATCCCCCTTTTTCCCTCGATCTTTCCATTGAGTATTATCAGCAGTATCTAGTATCTGCTATCTCTCATGATATGTCCCAGATATTCAAGTTTTTTCTTTTTTATCATCTTCGTCAAGTCACCTTCACCTTGTGATTTCTCTCCTTTCTACAACACAAGTAGCGGGCTAGACGTTCTTCTTAGAGTGCCGTCTCCCTACGGAGATTGGCAATCAAAATGGCTATTTTTATTTTAGAACTGGCTGCTCTAAACAAATCAATCGATCTGCATTGATACCAATCACGTAGATTCTTTAACCATGAGTTATGCCGGCCAACAGATCTTCTTCCTTGAATCTTTCCCTGTATTATGAGTCTCAAAATTTCATATTTTGGACCCCTCATCACGTGGCCTAGGTATTCCAGTTGTCTGGTTTGTATAGTGGTGATTAGTTCTATTTATTTACCAACCCTCTCCAGTACTTCTTTATTTGCAATTCTATCAGTCCATGATATTTTTAATACTCTGCGGTATAACCAGAGTTCGAAAGCCCCGATTCTTTTTAAATTGCATTTTTTTAATGTCTCAGCTCCATATATAATATAATAATATAATTAATAATGTGGTATATGTAGGAGGATTCTAGTCTAAAGCCTGCTTGACCAGCTCGAAATTTAATTTTGTTTGTTAATCGTTTAAGTATGATGGTCGTGAAGATTTTATTTATTGCGGTAAGCAAGGTTATTCCTCTCCAATTTTTGTATAGTGTGAGGTTGCCCGTTTTTGGAAGCTTAATAGTGTTACCACTGTTCCAACCCGCTGAAATGCGGTTTGTTGCCCACACCTCTCGGATTATGGGGAGCAAAAGTTCAGAAGTTCGATGTGGAACGTTTTGTAATCGGTTCATTGTTGACAATTAGTTGAAGCTTTCGGAGCTTTCGGGGAGCTTTCGGCAAATTAAGCTTTATTTTGAAGAATAAAGATATACCAATGTGTCCTAAACGTAGAGTTTATGACAAATGTATCTTGCCTGTAACTACATATGGACTGGAAATCATGGCCTTCACAAAGAAAACCTTAGAGCAACTCAGTACAACCCAAAGAGCAATGAAGAGGTCCATGCTAGGGATTAGTTTGAGAGACAGGATTCGAAATAACGTCATTTGTGAAAGAACAAAAATCACTGATGTCTTAGAACGTATTGCAAGGCTCAAGTGGCAATGGGTCGGACACGTTGCCCGAGATAATCCCGAAAAATGGACACAAAGATTAACAAACTGGAGACCAAGATAGAACAGGCGAGGAGTAGGCAGACCGCAGAAGAGGTGGACAGACGATATCAAACAAGTCGCGGGCAAGCAGTGGATGAGAATTGCCAAAAGTAGAAATCGATGGAAGCAAATGGAAGAGGCCTATGTCCAGCAGTGGACGAACACAGGCTGAAGAAGAAGAAGTTGAATAGGACCTACATCGTATTTACTAACCACAAGTAACTTTGTTTTGTACAGATGTATTTATACCATATTGGAGCATTTTATAAGTCCATTATTGGAGCATTTTCTAGTGACTCGATCTATAAGGAATTGAAGATCTTTGGTACTTTCGGTTCATATGTACGTAAAATGAGAAAGGAAGAAAAAGCAAGGCCCTCAGTCTCCGGCAGTCCCTTGAAAACAGGCTATGGTAGCAGTCTTGTAGTTAGAGGGACAGAGGGTGCTAAGAATCACCGGAGTCAACCAGGCTACCTTCATAAACGACAACGGCAAAGAATATGGTTTATGGCAACATACAACACAAGAACATTGATGGAGGACGAAAAACTAGTTGAACTGGAAAACGAGCTGAATCATATAAAATGGGATATACTTGGATTGTCCGAAGTACGGCGAAAGGGTGAAGAACAAATGGTACTTCCGTCGGGAAACCTATTGCATTATCGAGGAGAGTCTTCCAATGGTGGCGTAGGATTTATGGTAAATAAAAAACACACAAAGAATATACTCACAATTAAAAGCATAAGTGATAGAGTTATATATCTTATCTACAAAGTAAACGAAAAAATTCGGTTCAAGATCATCCAGGTATATGCACCTACTAGTACCCATACAGATGAAGAAGTAGAATGGTTCTACGATGACGTTAACACTGCCATACAAGAGACAAACACCAACTTTACTATACTGATGGGAGACCTAAACGCCAAAATAGGCCACAAGCAAGATGATTCGGAGTTTGTAATTGGACCTCACGGATATGGCGATAGAAACGAAAGGGGTCAAACTCTCATAGAATTTCTTCTGCAACACAGGCTATATGTCATGAATACGCACTTTAAAAAAAGCGACCAAAGAAAGTGGACTTGGCAATCACCAAATGGTTTAAACAAGAACGAAATTGATTTTATATTTACTAACAAAAAAGACGCTGTTCAAGACGTAACTGTATTAAATCAATTTTCAACTGGAAGTGACCATAGAATGGTTAGGGCGAAGATAGTCTTAAATATACAGAAGGAAAGAAGACATATGGTAACAAGGACTAATAATGTTACATTCACTGCGATTACTAACACCAGGGCATACCAGAAGAAATAGAGAGTAATCTACAGAAAGACCTGCAAGATGAAACCAGTATTGAACAGCTTAACGAAAAATTGGTAGAAGCCCTGAAGAAGTCACAGAAGAAGTGCCAAGCCAAGCAATCAACAAAAAATGAAAAACTCACAGAAGACACAAGAAACCTAATGCAAAAAAGAAGGGAAATGAAAGAAAAGCATACAACGAACATTGCAGAGCTAAGGAATTTAAACAAAACCATTTCAAAAGCCATTAGGAAAGACATAAGGAACTTTAAAACTAAGGAAATAACTGATACCGTAGAACAAAACAAAAGCCTAAAAGTTCTAAAACGAAAGTTGAAAACAGGAACGAGGAATATTTATAAGTTAAAAAATAATCAAGGACATGTCATACATGAACAACAAGAGATACTAAAAATCATCGAAGAGTACTATAGAACATTATATAGTCGAGATGATCACATTCCCGAAGTAGAAATTCCAGCAATACTAAATCAAGGGTCAGAGGAACTTCCAGATATAACCGAAGAGGAAATTAAGTCAGCATTAAAAGGTATGAAGAACAACAAAACACCTGGAGAAGATGGCATTGTAAGTGAAATGATAAAACTAGGAGGCGAATGCGTCATAAAGGCTTTAAAAACCCTTTATAATGCCTGCCTCTTTGAAGGAAATACGCCAGAAAAATGGAATAATGCCATTATGATAATATTGCATAAAAAAGGAGATGTAACAGAAATTGGCAACTACAGACCTATCAACTTATTATCTCATTTATATAAACTCTTTATGAGAATAATTACTAACAGACTGGGACCTAAGCTAGATTTTCATCAACCTCTAGAGCAGGCCGGATTTAGGAGTGGCTTTGGAACAAATGACCACCTACAAGTAATAAAATCCTTGATAGAGAAAGTTATAGAATACAACAAGCCATTGATATTAATATTTGTAGACTTTGAGAAAGCATTTGACTCAGTCCAGCATAGCTCCATGTTAAGAGCTCTTACAGAGTGCAGTATTGACCATAGGTACACAACTCTTCTTCGAAATATATATGATAGCGCAACAGCTGCTGTAAAAATGTACTATGGTGACACAGACACATTTCCCTTGGAGAAAGGTATTAGGCAAGGAGACACTATCTCTCCTAAACTATTCACCGCCCTATTACAGAGTGCTATGAGAAAAAATAATTGGGAAAATATTGGATTAAATATAAATGGGGAATTTTTGAACAACTTGAGGTTTGCAGACGACATAGTCCTTATTGCAGATCAGGTAGATCATGCATGCCAACTTCTTCAAGACCTTCAGAGCTCTTGTGCACGAGTTGGCCTTAAAATTAATTTTTCCAAAACACAATACATGACCAACCTGGTACTGGCAAAAAACATTTCCACTAATGGCACGCAAATTGAACAAGTGTATTCCTATAAGTATCTGGGCCACGAGATTAAATTGGGAAGAGACAATCAAACAACAGAGTTAAAAAGGAGAATAGGACTGGCATGGGCAGCTTACGGAAAACTGAGGGAAGTCTTTAAATCAGCTATTCCCATGTGCTTGAAGAGAAAAGTTTTTGATCAGTGTGTACTTCCAGTTCTGACATATGGAGCAGAAACATTGACACTTACCAGAAAAGTAATTAATAAGATACAAGTGGCACAGAGAGCGATGGAGAGGTCAATGTTGGGCGTATCACTCAGGGACAGAGTTTCGAGTCAGATAGTAAGGAGAAAAACTGGTGTGACGGACGCAGTTGAAAGAATTACAACCCTGAAATGGAACTGGGCAGGACATGTTGCTAGGGTCAGAGATGGAAGATGGACAAAGAAAATTTTAGAGTGGAGGCCTAGACACGATGCTTATCGTAGTCGAGGACGTCCTCCAACAAGGTGGTCGGACGATTTAAAGCGCATCCAGTCTAACTGGATTCAAGTTGCTCAAGATCGGATGCAATGGAATTATTTACGGGAGGCCTATGTTCAGCAGTGGACGCAAAATGGCTAATGATGATGACTATATGAGCCTTTTTATTTATCAAACAAACATGAAAATATTTTGATGATTAATGTCATATATTAACCTTGATATTGATTATTATTTTTGTTTGTAGGAGACGATAGTTTAAAACGTAGTGAAATTAATGACTTGTCAGCATGGATAAAAGAAAAGTTAGGTGATAAAGTTGCGGCAGTAACCGCTACCAGTCGCCTAGAAAGCCATCCGTGCGTTGTTACGGTTGAAGAGATGGCAGCCGCGAGACATTTTATCAGAACACAAAGTCACAGTGTTTCAGAAGATAGAAGATACGCTATTTTACAACCTAAATTTGAGATTAATCCAAAGTAAGTCTTTTAAAACATATTTAAACATAAATCAGAAACTCCTAATTTGTAGTATGATGGTACAGGATATTTAGCCTCTCTGGACCTTGATTTAATAGGGTCTTTTATTTATAATACATAATCATAATAATATATAATCTAGTTAAACTGTAGAGTGACAATACTTCTGGTAAAGTTAAGTAGCTGTCTAGGCAGTAGGTTGTTCTTTATCTCCTAGGATTAATAGTAACCTCTTTTAGCAACCATTTTGAGATCAACACTAGGGATAAATGGAGGCATATTCGTAGGTACGGTTGTCTACTTTCAGAATCTCAGATTCGACTTTGTGCACTCCATATGCCTTTTCATGTATGTTGGATATGTTGGAAGTGAATTCACCTCTAGTTCTGATAGTTTCGATTCAGTTCCAACAACCATTCAATTATCTTCAATAAACACTTCGAAAGGAATGTCAAACTGGAACTTACCAATCATAGTATCCTTTGATTGGTCTTTAACTTCCAATGAAGCATTTTTGAGTAACAGGATCTTCAGGTGACCAGTTCAGTTACCTGATTTAACTATCTGTGATCCTAATTTACTTATCCTATCCAACCCTGGGCAGTTGCACGGAAAGTGTTCCGCTGTTTCGTATTCAGCCTGACAAAATCTATAACCCAACTTTCTGTCAATCTTTTATTCATGTGTTCCTTGGGGCGATAGTGTAAGGAAACCTACGATAGTTCCCAGATCGTTTCTATTCATATTTAGTAGATCTTTCGATGTCTTCTTCGAAGGTTCATTTATAAAAGCCCTCGAATGTTTGAGATTTATTTGTTCGTACCAGTGGTTACGTTTCATTCGTTCCACCCACTACAATATCGTTCCTTTGGCTGTGCTTCTGCTGTGTTAACGAAAGGTTCTGGGCCTGTGAGTGTCTTTTTTGTCCCTCTCTTGGTAAGGAGCTCTACTTTTTCGTTTTCTTCAATAATAGTATGTCCGGGCACCCAGAGTATACTTAATTTGTTATTTTTTTTACCCAAATCAGATTTTGAAGACAGTTTCAGTCCACTAACCTGGAGTCAATTCGATTCGATTCCAGTGACTTAAATGCCGCCCGTTATCCGATATAATTTTAATAGATCTGTCCCCCCAGTTCCTCTTTATTATTTCCTGCAGGCATGTCTCTATAGCATAAATTTCTGCTTGGAGGAGAGTAGTGAGATTCCCTGGGATTTCACTAAAGCCTAGGTTCCCCTCCGTATACTCCAGCCCCAAGTTCTTCGTCGGTTTTATAGTGTCTATATACCAGCATTGATCTGCCATCATGAGATTCGTTTTATTCAACTCCCATTCGTCCCTTCCTGGAAAAACGACGGTAAACCACTGGATCTTGATTATCTCCCCAGATTTGATCCCGATATCCTTTTGTCTTGATTCCTGTCGTCTTACCCGCCTTCTGTATGCTCCTACCTTCGCCTCCTTTCTCCATCCATATATTTAATGGAGAGAGGTCCACTGTGACCTTCATGAAGGTGGTTAGGGTAATTAACATCGCTCCTGTTAGGTTTAATCAATTTTACTAATTAACTTCTGCTGATGAATTTGCTTTGAAATTCATTTTTCTTCACTCTGAGCTTCACTGTATATATTTTTGTTTTCCTCTGTAATATTCCTGTTTCTTTTATTTACTGTATTTTTAACTTGTTTACTTCATTATATTCTATTTGAGATATATTTTTCTTGAAACCACACTTTGTGTCACCCTGTAATATTGTACGATCTTGAAATGGAAGTTGATTATGACGTGAAATAGATCTAACGTAGTATGTATACAAGAAACACGTGTGCTACGTGTTTACTTTTTGATTAACGTTATTTGTATTTTAATAGATAATTATGATACTTAAAGCATAATGTTTACTTTTCAGACACCCGATTATTAAGAAAATGTATACCTTAATGGGTACAAATCCAGTACTGGGCGAATTGTTGGCGAAACAGGTAAACTGCAAATTTTTGTAACATATTAAATATTTAAAAAAATATATTGTTATCTTTAATAATAAATAATAATACATCGGTATTTTGTCGCGAAACCTAATCAAAAGTTGTTGCAAAAATGACTATCTTTAATTGTTGTTTTCTCCTATTTTAACGTCTTCAGGGTTATCCTGTCTTCCTGACGATTTATAATTCTTCATTGGCTTAAGTAAAGAAATGAGCGAGGAGGCCGACTGGGTGAATTTGTAGCAGAAGAAGAGTTTGTGATTACTAACACTTACTTCAAACTCTCACACAGAAATACATGGAAATCACCTCAAGATACTCCAGGCTGCATAGTGAGAAATCAAATAGATTACATTCTGATTAATAAAAGATTCCGGAACAGCATAACATCAGTCAAGACATACCCAGAAGCTGATATCAAATCAGACCATAACCCACTGATTGGCAAAATTAGGCTCAAGCTAAAGAAGGTTAGACGTAGTGTCAATCCAAAATTCGACATCAAGCTATTAAAAGACCAACACACAGAACATAGTGTAAAGCGGTATATACAGAACAATTTGAATACCGTTATTCAATCGGATGTAATTGACCAGGAGCTAGAAAAGTTTCATACAGTTTCAACAGACATACGAGAGAAATTTCTCAAACCACCAAAAATAAAGAAGAAATCGTGGATGACAAATGAGATTCTAGATATGATGGAAGACAAACCTTGAAGAGTTGGGTGTTTGGCAGATAACCAAGGCAAACCACTGTTAACTGTGGAAGAAAAACTAGATAGTTGGAAGAATTATGTGGAAGTAACTTTTGCAGATGAAAGGCAGAATACCGTTGAAGACACTGAATGCCAAACAGGACCTCCGATTACCATTGAAGAAGTCACGTCAGCTATTAAAAGAACTAAAGATGTTAAAGCGGTAGGGCCTGACGAATTTGTGCAGAATTCCTAAAACTTATGGATGAACAGGGAATAAAATGGATAACAACTGTATTCAATAACATATACATAACTGAAAAACAATGCGTTGTGCAATGAGATTGGGAAACCACAGAAAACCAATTTTCCCCTGTCCTTGTGATTTTAATTCGTCTCTTAAAAAGTGTGTGGTGTTCACTGTTTGATGTTGTGGATGTGTGTTTATACAGTTGTTGAGATGTTAGTGTAGTTATCGGTTGTGTGTTGTTGGCTTTTTCTCTAGGAGTTTATGTGTTTATGATTGTAAGCTTTGTGGAGGTAAAGTGTATATTTGGGTAAATGATAAGTATATCTAGGATGTTGTGAGTGTTGTGATGTGTGTTTATGTGCGGAGTTGGGTGAAGATTTGCTTTATTGAGTTATTATAACAGAAAGTAGATATGGCATACCCATACAGTATGTTGGACATTTGGTTGAGATAGTGGATGGTGTTATTCCTCTTTTAAGGGAAGACATTGAAAAGAATCATGGAAGTAAAATGAAATAAGGATTTCATGTCCCAGGAAAGCTCATCTGAAGGGATTTGTTTAGGTGAGTGTACGGGTTATTTTTGTTTTAGATTTTTGGGTTGTATTCTGCGGTGTGGACATCTTACTGAGAATGCGGGGTGGCCTCCATTACAGTTGGGACATTTTAGATCAGATATCTGGGGGCAAGCATTTGACCTGTATTGTTGTCCACAGAATGGACAAGTGAATTATTTTTCTTTGAATTTGTTGCTGACATATCCGCTTTTGCAACATTTCGAACAGTATTTCAGTCGAACCGGAACGGAATTGCTTGATTTTGGAACCTCACAATTAAGGTCGACAAGTAAAAGAATATTGTTTTTCCATTTCTTGTTTTTTGTTACGCAACAAATATATTTAAATTGTAGAATACTGTTAACTCGCGTATGCCATTTTACTACTGTTTAAAGCTGTTCGATCATTCGGGCCATCTCGAGATTTTTCCCGGACACACTTAACACGAAACGAGTGCCTGCTCACCTTGAATTACCGAAAACTCTCGGTTTGGGCTGAGTGGCACAAATCCGTTCGGCTCTCACCGTACTCATCTGAACAAAATAGGACGAGAGTCTATGTCCTGACTTCTACTACGGTGCCCACGGTGTTGCCAAGTGGTAATACTGTTGGGTGTCAAAATTTAAACACAGTTTCGAGAGTTTTGGTGATATTGGCTTTATATATTTAAAATTATCATCTTTCATACCAATCTACAAGGTTTATTTTTTACTATTTTGAGTTCTTTGTTATTCTTTATCGGGAAAAAAGGGTTACTTTTAAAATAAGAATGAAAAACATAGTCTATTTTTATTTATAATTTCCACCAATAAGCCCAATATAAATTTGATTAAAACATGGAAATGGAAACTTGATAACTAACACGGGCTTAGTGCTCGCGAGCACTTTAATACTGTTAAGCACTTTTGAGTTTTTCTGGTTTTCAGTTTTCATTCATTATATTGACGATAAAAATCATGATACTATAAATGACAAAATAGAATCTTCCCGTAGCGCAAATTCCTCGCGTTCGCGCATGATGTATTGGAAAGATGAATTTGAATTCTTGTTAAATTTGTTAAATGGGATTTGTATGCATTCTGTGATGAAATTATTCAATTAGCACAATAATATTAAACGACTTTTTGGTGTTTATAAAAGAAAAGAATAATATAATATTAAAATATTTATATATTATATATATATATATATATATATATATATATATATATATATATATATATATATATATATATATATATGTGTGTGTGTTATATATATATATATATATATATATAACACACACACATATATATATATATATATATATATATATATATATATATATATATATATATATATATATATATAAGAGGAAACTTTCGAAAATAAGTTTAAGAGATTTAATAAATTACAATGATCGTACACATAAGAATATCTCAAAATATATTTATTAAAGATTATTTATTGATACATACAAAAAATAAACATTATCAAATATGTGCAATATACAAATTAAACTTCAATGTATTAGAAAACATTTTAGTGTCAGGATAAATTTACTTTATTACAGATAATTAATTACTATAAAATATTATAGTAGGTAATACATATTACCAGTGTCTCCATCTTCGGGCATCGTGGAAAAGGTCGTTTCTGAAAAAAATATATTCCCCTTTCCATGGCCGACCCAGGAGGCAATATCTTTATGCCAATGGGCTCATTGGGCATAAAGATATTGGAGGAAATAAGGCCTCGTTAAGGTTCCCGGTTAAAAATTAGAATATACAAAGGCATATTAAAATATTTAACCGGCCTACTTTACAAATAGGTAGTCAATAACAATATTTGGAAACAATTTAGAAAATTTCTTTGCACTAGATTTGCTCTCAATTGGTAATTTAAGATTTTATTTTTTAAATGCTAGAATGTTTTGATTACCTCTTAAACAACTCAAAATCACAATATTTTCAAATGGTTAAAATTAATGAAGACTTAATTCTTAATCACGTCTAATCGGGAGTGAAACTACTGAGAAACACTTATTAAAATTAACTGCCTAACAAAATTACTGTAATCGGAATAGAAAATACCGGCCACTTGCGTTTTTGTGATCACTGAATTAATTTATTAAATTTTCGTTTGCGCGTCCTGGTAGTCTGTTTCTACTCAATATTTAATTTTCTAATTCTAAAATACAAACGACTTCTAAAAAAGCTTTAACACTTTCATCCAAATTGACATAGCAAGTTCATAATTTTTTTTTTAAATAAAATTTAGATATTTTCAACGAACTTTCATTTACCTATTATCAAAAATATATTTTCTAATTCATTTAATTTTGCCATCATCTCGCCTGGTGGCTTCGATAATTCCTCTTCCGATAGATGGTCTACCCATGTATAACCATCTTCTGAGGATTCTACATTTTTAATTTACGGCATATATATCCGTGCAAATTTCCAAAGCCATCATAATTAAATTCTTCCAATTCCTGACTTAGTTTGTCGTTTAAATCAAGATTTTGGACTTCTATTTTTTTTTCAAGTTTTGGAAACATGAATCGCTTAGGTTGATATCAATTGTTGACAAATCAGGAGTTGCATCTCCTTCGATGTTTCCAGCGGTTGACAAATTGCTTTATTTCTAGCTATAATGTAGTTTTTAAACGATATTTAAATTCTAACGCATCTGGAACATTATAAAGTCCACTTTTGGCACGTATTACTCCAAAACGTTTTCCAAAATGTCTTGATTCAACCATACGTCAAAATATATTTAAATCCAAATCATTGTTGTTGGACCAGTATTCTTTTATCATTATCATTTTTGTTAAATTATGCATTTAATTTTTTTTTACTAAAAATATAATATTAATTAAGAATATACGTACAGTTTCATTTTAAATATTGGAAATTACTTCGCCATTCGTGCTATGATTTAATGCTTATTAGTATTATTATCATTTCTTTAGATAAGTAGATTAACTGCAATTTTGTCTTGCTCCTCCTGGGTCGGCTTCTGAATTCTCGGATACTTTTTATTTTTCTTTTTAGTACTAAATAGCCTTCTCTGTGGCTCAATTTTTTTAGTACTGTCTATTTTATTTAGTATGTCGGGCTGTCCTATTAAAATATCAGCTTCCTTACGGGCAGCACTTAATGTTGGTTCTAGAGAAGCCAGGACCTTTTCAGCAATTACTAACTCTTTTTCGCTTTCTATGGCATCAATTTGAGTCATAAATTTTTTAATTAATTCTTTTTTTCTCTCAGATAAAGTTCTTAGAGGTGCCTTGTCTTGATTTTGGGTACCTCTCTTTGATTGGAGCTGATGGAAAATCAGTGTAGATTCTTCTAATTTGGGGTTTTCAAAAACTGTGAGCTGCTGGTCATTAGACTCTAAAAACAAATATACAATAAATAAATTGACTAATGTTAAGCATACAGGGTAATCCATGATGAACTACTCCAAACCAATACGACACAATTAATCCATTGATACAAAGTTTCAAA